CTCAAGGCTACGAACTCCAAGACACATAGTGATTAAATTGAACAATTAGATTCAGAAACAACAAGGTCTACAGGGGATCAGAAGAAAGACCCTAATAGCTAATAACAATAATAGCAAACATTTATATAGCTCCTGCTATGTTCCAGGCACTGTGCTATGTGCTTTACAAATGTTATCTCATTTTATCTTTACAACAATCGTGGGAGGTATGTGCCACTCATAAAAACCTGCAAATACAAACATGCTATTGATACAGCCTTCAAATACAAAGGAAAGGAAATTTTTAAAATACATAACTAGAACAAAGGTCCAATCCTTTAAAACCTTCTATGCTCTAGTTCTCTGACCTCATCATTCAACTGAAATAGTGACCTTTTCTCATTCTTCACCTCTCTTGACCTTGCTATCGCATATGACATTGTTGAACACTTTTCCTAGATACTCTCTACAGATTTTTTTCTGGTTCTCCTCTTACCTGTCTGACTATTTGTTCTCAATCTTTTTTGCTAGATCTTCATCCATGTCATACCTTCTATCCATGGGTGTCCCTGAGGGCCTAGGCTTCAGCCCGGTTTTATATCTTTACTATCTCACTTGGAAATCTCATCACCTCCCAAAGGCTTTAATTATCATCTCTATGTAGATGACTCCCAGATTTTGTCTGTCCAGTCTTGCATTCCTCTTGAATTTCAGTCCCTTATCATAAACAGCCTTTTGGACATTTGAAACTGGCTATCTCATGGGCATTTCAAACTCCACGTGTTCAAGATTGGACTGTTATCTTCACTCTTCCCCCAGCGCTACCCTCTTCGCAACTTCTCTGCTGTTGTTGGAGGACAGCGTTATCATCTTAGTCACTTAAATTCTCACAATTTCTGTGTAATCCTCAAACACTCAATTTCCCCCTTTTCTCCACTCACTCTCCATTCCACTCATAAGCACAACTCTAATTCATTCCTTTATAACCTCATGCTTTTATTGTTGCTGTAACCTTCCTTTTAGCCTCCCTCCTTCAAGTCTTTCTCCACTCCCTTCCATCTTTCGCTCATTTTTGAAAATGATCTTCTTAAGACACTGTTCTGACCATAGCATGCCTTCACCCCCTCCCAATAAACTCTATTAGTTCTCTGTCACCTCCAAGACAAAATATAAAATCCTCTATTTGGCTTTTAAAACCCATCACAACTTAACCTTTCTACTTTTACAGTTTTCTTACATTTCACATCCCTTCTCATACTCTACTGTCCAGCAACACTGGTCATCTAGCTGTTGCTCTCATGTGATTCTATTGCTAGCCTCCATCCTTTTTCACTGCCTGTTCTACCTCCTCGAATCTACCTCCTGGCTTCTAGGTCTTCCTTCAGGACAGATAAAAGGTACGAAGCCTTTCTTGGTCCCACTACCTTCTTTCTGAGATTACCTCCCATTTCCACTGCATTATCTTATAAGTATGTAATTATTTGAATGTTGTCTCCCTCATTAGATTATGAGCTCCTTGAGGACAGAGCTCGTTTTGACCTTTCTTTGTAGCCCTAGTACTTAGCACAGTGTCTTGAAGCTAGAAAGTGCTTAATAAATATATATTCACTGATACTCTCTTGGACTATTTCAATAGCCAGCTAATTGGTCTCCCTGCCATAAATCTTTCCCCATTCAAATCTTTCCTCTGTTTACCTGCTAGAATTAGTTTCCTAAAAAACCAGGTCTGACTATGTTTCCCTCCTATTCAATAAATTCCAGTAGCTCCCCATTACCTCCAGATCAAATATAATTTCTTTGTGTGTGTATGGCATGTAAAGCTAGCTCTTCTTAACCTAGTCCTTTCCTACGTTTTCATCCTTATTACACTTTACTTCCAATCCAGCCACACTGTGCTCCTTGCTGCTCTTCTCCCACTGCACTCTATTCTTCATGTATAGTCAGTCCATTTAAGCCCTGGGGATCCTTATCCCAACTCCTGCTCTCACAAGCTATCTTAGGTCCTGGAGTAAGGCTATATGCTGCAGGGTTTTAGTCTAATTCTGAGTGATTTTTCTAATTTCATTAGTAGGGAGGCTTGGTGCTTCACCCCAAAATTCGCAGTTGAGAATCATTTAGTCAGTCAGCCTTAAGTAGCTTTTTAGACAAGGGTATTTGCTAAGGTGGTACAGCAAAATAGTTGGTACAAAACATCCCCAAAAGTGTGTGACACATTCTCCTACGAGTATATAAAGAGTCCAGGGGGAAAGTGGGCTCAAGTTTAAAGGGCATATGTGGCAAGGGACTAATACATAACTCCTGGTTGCTAGAAGACCTTTTCTTCCATTTATGGGGGATACAAGAAGTTCCCCATAAGCATTCTGAACCTGTGTCCATTCTGTTCCTGACTCCTGATACAGACACTGCTGTCAGCAAATCCAGGGATGCTGCTAATACATTGCAGAGAAGATGGGAGGTCCAATATCATCTGGACTTTTTGGAGCTCACAAGGTCCTCCTCTGGACAAAGGGAAGGTGGAAAGAGATCTGTACAAATTAGAAGCCAAGTCCTTGCTTCAACCCAAGCGGCTCTTCCTCTGGCATGTACTAGAAAGCCACCCTTGCTGCAATTCCTGAACTTCCTCAGTTGTAGCTAACAAGATGCTTTTATGTAGAATTGGGACAATGGAATCAAATCCCCCAGCCACTAGGAAGAGACTTCAAAAGGCTTTCAAAGACCTTTCACACTTAGTCTTAAGGATCATGATTGAAATGGATTGATTAGGCATCATCTCTTTAAGTGGGGTAAAGTGACTGGATTGAGTAAATCAATCAAACTCCAAAGCTGGAGTGTTTTCCTTCTTCACTTTCACTTCTTAATTCAAGACTCAGCTCAAATGTCACTTTCTCTAGGAGGCCTTTCCAGCTCCCCCACCCCACTACCCAAATTTCCTTCTATCTATTCTGTATATATCTTATATATACATAGATATCTGTCTTCCCCCCATTTGAGTGTGAGCTCCTCGAGGTCTGGGACTGTTTCTGCCTTCCTTTGTATCCCCAGGGCTTATTTTCACTGTGCTTTATTAAATGCTGTTGATAGTGACCAGCCTCACTCTTTCCTAGAAGTCTCTTAAAGCCCACATCTCTCCCAAGCCTCTTTCTGTTTTCTTACATTCATTTCAGACAATCCATGTTCAAAGTTTAACTCAGCTCTGACATTAATAGCTCAATTATAATAGCCGCTTATGTTGAGATTTAAGGTTTGCAAAGTACTTTACATATGCTATTTCATTTGACCTATAAATCAAATAACGGTTTATTATAATTTAAATACTTGGTAGACGCTACAATTGTCCCCATTTTGCAGACGAGGAAACTGAGTCTGAGAAGTTGTGGTTAGCTCAGGGTCACAGAGATATTAAGTGTCTGAGGCTGGATTTGAACTCAGGTTTTCCTAGCTCCAAGTCCAGCACTCTTTCCATTTCACCCCCTGGCTGTTCCTAATAATAGTTATCCACACTAATAAAATAATAATGACATATGTATAATATAATAATTTCACATTTGTGTATGTTTTAAGCTTTACAAAGTGCTGCCTTTGATCTGTAGCCATCTGTGCTCTCTGTTTCGGGTTCCTTCCAGCGTCAACATTCTGAGCATTGCTTCTTTCTCTTTCCTCCGCGGCTGAGTTTCAAAGAGCTATCGAAGTAATAAAAACAACAACAAACCCCAGCAAAACAAAACCAAACAAAAAGAAATCTCCCAAACACTAACCTCAACTCCAGTTCCCAGGGATTCCAGCCCTGGAGAAAACTATAAACTGAAACCAATTGGTCAAAGGGAGTTAGTTATTCTCTCCTCCCCCCTCCGAGGAGCCTTCCCTCAGCCCGATTCGGCTCTTTGTTTGCTCCCTTTGGGCGCGCGGAGAGAGCGGCTCTGGTCTCCAACCTCTCCTCCCCCGTCCCGGGGGCCTTTGCAGCTCCGGGCTCATTGCCCAGCCTAGGCCTGGAGCTGGCAGATACTCAAGGGCTGTTCCCAGCTGGCCCCAGGGTGCCCCCAGTGATATCGCAGGGGCAAGGAGTAACTGTGGTAAGGTCAAGCACAAGTCTGCCTCCCCGACTGTGACCGCCTTCGATTCCGGGATTATCTAGTGCTACTCCCTCATGGTAGGAAACTGAGGCAGAGAGAGGTTCCGTTTATAAAGCGGCAGTTGTGGGTATTTGAACTCAAGTCTTCAGACTCCAAGTCCAGTGCTCATCCTATTCCAACCAGCCGAAGGAAGAAGGTGCAGCTGTAGGACCTCCTGTCTCCCGGTGGGGCAGACAGGGTTTGCATGCTTGGGAGGCTGGGTGTGCAAGGCTGGTCCACAGATGCTTCCCTTTATGCGGGGCGGAGAACTGTGGGGCTTGACCTAGGGGGGAAAAACATTCGAGGTGGGGCTGGGATGGGAAGGTGTATGTGTAGCTCAAATTTGTAAAGAAGCCCAGAGTCTCTGCTACACCATCCCCAGATAGGCAGGAGGTGCTGGGACCAGCTCCGCCCTCTCCCCCTTCTCGTTCTCCCCGACGCAGTGCAGGCTCTGGCCCTCCCCTCAATTCCCACCCAGGCAGCCAGCAAGGCCAGAGAGCAGCCCCAGGCCCCACGCGCTCCACCCCGCTCCCAGCTCGGCCCTGACTCCCCCAACCCCCTCTTTTCTCTGTCACGTGACCATCCCGGCTACATCTCGGACTGGCGAGAGAGCCGGACTCAGGGGCTGTCTGGTATTGGGGGGGCGGTGACTGTAGCGAGCGCGGCGCGAGCGCGCGCGCGGCCCGAAAGAACAGGATGGAACGCGCCCGGGAGGACTCTCATCGCACCTACCCCCCTTCTTCTTCTTCTGCTCCTCCTCCTCCTCGCGCCTAGGACCTTGGAGTTGGGGAAGCTCCCCTCGGGGAAGTAGGGAGGGAGGGAGGGAGGAGAAAGTGCGCGAGACCCGGACCACCCCCTCCACCCTAGAAACAGGGGCGGGGCAGTGCCCCGAGCCTAGTGCATGCGACCGGCTGGGGCATCCTGGACGAGCGTCGGTGTCCGGCCCTCGCGCCGTGAGTGACCCTGTCGCGCGCGTGCAGGAGGGAGGAGGAGGAAGAGAAGGAAGCAGCAGCGGCAGAACGCGGAGCCGGGCGCTGAAGGAGCCGAAAGATGGCCAGCGACGCGCTTCAGGTACAGGTCTGTGGGTGGCAAAGAGGCACCTGCCCCAGGCCTCCACTTCCAGCCCGACCCCGCAGCCTGGGTGGGGAGACACCCTTCTCCTTATCATGATCCTCTATCTTTTCACGAGGGAAGGGGCCTCTGTGTATTTGTGGCACTGCTGTTTATCCCTCCAACCTTCCCCGTCCACCCCAAAATAGAAACCACACCTGGGACACCCGTGTACACCTAAGATCCTTCCCATGCAAACCACCCACTCCTCAGCCACAGTGAAGTTTCCTGTGTCTGATTTATCCCTCCTCCAAAGTCAGTCCTGCGAGCCCTTCCGGCTCTCAGATCCTGTGACTGATTCTTGGGGCCTGGGGCCTTCTTCCTTTTGGCCCAGTGAGTGGGCTAGAATGGGGAGGCGATTGTTCATCCCTTGTCCCGGCCCAGAGGGCTGACCTCTCCTTCTGGTCCTGCGAAGAAATCATTCCCTCTCTACCTCACTATTTACCCCGAGTCTGGGGACCTTGGAGAGCAGTCCCTAGCTCAGATCACAAGTTGAGCAGGCCGGAAGATTCTTCTGGACCCCAGGTGCTTCTGGAGCTCAGCAGTAGCTTTATTTTCTTGGGGTGGGCATGAGAGGAAAGCTATATAATCTGATTCTGGGAGACCGTATTTCTTAGCCCTTAGGCCTGTCAACACCTCCTCCATTATTTGTTTGTATGTCCCTGTGCCTGCCTCCACCCCCCAGTCAAAGAACAGAGGCTGCCTTCCTCATGGCCCCGCCTCCCCAGCAGGTGCAGCTCCACCTGTCAGCCCTGCCTCCTTTCTCCCCATCTGCCATCAGTGCCAGACCTAACGATCATAGGATCATAGGATTTGAAGCTGGCAGGCAGTTCAGAGATAATCTAGTCCAACCTCATTTTGCAGATGGAGAAACTGAGGCCCAGAGAGAAGGAATTTGCCTAAGTTTGAACAGGTAGCAATTAGAGGAGCCAAGATTCAAATCCAGATTCTTCAGCTCCAAATTCAGTGCTTTTTCCATTATCTTACACTGCCTAATTCAAGCCCTAATTCCTCCAGGAATCCGTCCCAGACTTCCCCAGTCTGTAATAATTTCTCATTTTTGAACTGGAGTCTCATGGGCAATGGCTGACTAACTTGAGACTCAGTGGGTGGCCTTTTGACCTCCACCCTACAGTTCAAAGAGAGAGGAAAGGGAAGGGACAGGGCAAATCCCCAGGTACCTTCCCCCGTGGCTACCGGCCAAGGCCTTGAGCAGTGCCAGGACATCAGGATCTGCTTCTTTCTCACCTTGGCCCCAACCTCCAATAGATTCTCAAACCTTGTGGCTGGGATTTCATGTGCCACTGATTGGCACCTGTTGATAGATGCTTTTTCAATTCTAATTAGGCCTCAAAAAATAATCTAGGAATTCAGACTTCCATCTTGTCCAAGGTACAGTTGGTCAGTGGATTATTAATAAAAATAACTCCCAATTCTATAGTGGTCTATGACTGGCAAAGTGCTTTCCTCACAATAACCCTGTGAGGGAAACTCAAAGAATCGAGGTGACTTTCTCTATGGTCACACAGCTAGTACTCAAACCTATATCTCTCTGAGTCCAGAAGTCTCTTCATCATACCATGCTACACCACCCTCTAGAACCTAGAATCTGGAACCCAGAGCCACTCAGGTTACCTCCTGTGCCCTCCTCTATGATCACTTTCTGACTGTATATTCACTTCCCTGAGTCTGAGTTGCAGAGATAATATGGTGTGGTGGAAAGAGCTGGGAGTCAGGAAACCCAAGTAAGAACCCAATAAATTTTAGGAGCTTTGGTTACCCTGAAAATTTTGGATGAATTACAGTTATTTCAGTGAGCACTGCTTGAAGAAAATTTTGTTTTCCAGATTTGGTCATATTCCCCAATGATGATATACCATTTTTTATTAATTTTTTTTAGGCCATTGGGGTTAAGTGACTTGCCCAGGGTTACATAGTTAGTTAAGATATACCATTTAAAAAAAAAGTTTAATTCATATTCAACTTAGAAATAAATGTAACACTTCATGGAGCATAAATGCATTTTAAGAAAACTTTAATGGAAATGCATTGTAGGAGACTCCACCTTAATTAGATGTCAAAAGATTTTTCTGAACATAGTCAACTCTTAACAAATTCACACCACCAAAAGCTCAGTTGCTAGGTTTCTACTATGGCCTCTCTGAGTAACCTTAGACAAATCACCTCCTCTCTGGGCCTCAGTTCTCCCATTTATGAAGCAAAGGAGATAGCATCTTTTAGCTCTGACATTCTATGAGTTTCCAACTAACCATCGGGTAACCCTCCTTTCTAACATCATAACTGAGGGCCCAGTCAAGTCTGAGAATGACTGTCTAGGCTGTTGGTATCCTGCCCCAGAACCACTGAGTTTCACTGGTCCTAGGAGCAAAAGTGGAAACAGGTATAATGTTTTCAATCACTGCTTACCCCCTCACCCCCACTCCAACTAACTCCTCTGGCTGTCCAGCTGTCGCTTTATAACTGGGTTTTCATCTCCTTCTGCAACCTTCCTGTTCCTCTACCCTCTGTCCCTTCTGTGTCTCCCCTTCCCTGGTGGCATTCTCCCCCCCATCCCTCCCATTTCTGTCTTTCCCACTACCGAGTCTGGAGGGAGCACCCCTCGGCCAAGCTGATGGCAGGGCCCCCGTGTGGAGGAGCCAGCCGCGTCTGGTGCTGCCGATCGCACAAGGTTAGACACCAACCCACTGTTGATGAGGTGGGCAGGGGACTGGGGGAGGAGGGAACACAGAGGTCTCTGGGACAAAAAACATGCTGGGGGAGGGAGCATATAAATTACCTCCTGCTCATCCTCTTCCCTTTCCGAAAGAGAAGGGAGAGCTAAGCCTGAAGAAAGAGCAAAGGGGAGGATCACTAGACTGGATCCTCAACATCATAAGAGGAAAGAAGATGACTGATTTTCTCTGTGCCTCAGTTTCCCCACCCTGGAACACCATCCCCCAGGAATACAGTGATCCTACCTGTGATCACTGAGCATCAGTCCTCCTGGGTCCTGAGGAGGACCTGAAGGGAGAAGAGCTGGGTCTGTCTACACAGAAATATACCCCCTCACACTGCCAAACCCTTGATCCCTGTTCCCCCAGTCATAGCAGGCTGTCTGAAAAGGGAAAGGGGTAACCTCAGTTCCCTGACAATTTTGGTAAAAGTTCAATGCTGTGTGAATTTGGGCCCTGTCATCCCCAAGTTAAAGGGGAGAATAGTTTTCCTCATCTGTAAACAAGGGTGACAACTGTGTTCTGCCTCAGTTTCCCATCCTGAATACAGTAGTCTTAATTAAAAAGTTAAAGAGTTAAGAAGATCCCTTCCCCTTCCAGCTCTGATACTGAGATTGCAGATTGGACTTGAGGCCATTGTTAAGCTCTTCTCTTTCCTCCAGCATTTCCTCTGAGAGGAGACTGTGGGGCAGCCTCGGGCCAGTCTCCAAAGCAGAAAGGCCAGTGCCTGGATCCAGATCCCTATCCTGAGGCAAAGTCCTGACACCCCCCCCCCCAAGGACACTAAGAAGGGGAAGATTCTAGATCCCTGATCCCTAAGAGAGGCAGTAAGATACATGGGAAAAGTATATGAAAAAGCACGGTTCCAGTCCCAATTTTGTCCCTAACTTGCTGCGTGACCTCATGTAAATTACTCAACCTCCACTGCCCTAATTTTGCCCATCTATAAAATAAGGAATTGAATTAGACAGTCTCTAGGTTCCCCTTCTGTTCTGCTGATAATAATAACATCAGCTTATATTTATGTAACATTCATGGATTGCAAAGTGCTTTCTCAATGTTAAAATTTATACAAATGTGTTATTGTTACAAAGTGCTCAACATACATTATCTCATATAATCTTCATAAGTAATGTCTCCATTTTACAAAGGAGGAAACAGAACCGGAGAGTGTGTAGCTTAACAGTGTTTCATATTTGTGTGGCACTTTATGGCTTACTCCCCCGACAGACAGGAAACAGACTGGGATATGGAATCAGAGGGTTCAGATCCCAGCTCTCCCACCTATGTGACACTTCTCTCTGGGCCTCAGTTTCCTCCTCAGAAAATGAAGGGGCTGAACTAGATGGCCTCTAAGGGCCCTATTAGCCCTAAATCCTATTACCCCTGTGAGAGCAGTAGTATAGGTATTAATATCCTTATTTTACAGAAGAGGAAACTGAGGCTGAGAAGGGCCAGCTAAATGATTTGCCCATAGTAGGAAACAGTAAAAGTAGGACAGGAACCCCAGTTTCCTGACTGTAAATCTTCCCATTCTTCCCATTATACCATAGCTGCTCCCATGGACTATGAGTCTACCCTCAGGTGGTGCTGAAGCGGGGCTGGGGTAAGGAAGGAGAGAATCTATGTTCAGCCCATCTGTCCCAGAACAGATGGTAGAGGGTGGCTTCCCAACTCCCTCTATCCCTCTATCAACTGTTTTTATCCCCACCCCTTATGATGGACCTAGGGCAACTGGAGGAAGCTGCAGGTTCCCCTGTTTTCTCTCCCCCCCTAGTCCCCATTCTAGGATAAGAACAAAGGGTACCTGGAGCTTCACACCATGTCAGACTTGGGGAAGTGTGTGGGCTGAAGAAAGAAGCCTGGAGTCAGGACGCCTGGGTCCACAATGGGGGAAGGTGGGGCCTAGGTCTGTGTATTCAGGATGCTTAGGTCCCTGGGGGAGGAAGGAGCCCCTCCTCCCTTTGACTCACCGCCCCCCCCCTCCACTCAGGCCAAGGGGTTAATTAGCTGTCAAGGCCCTTCAGGGTAGGAGGAGAGCCACAGGTATATCTGTGTGGCCTGCTGCCCTATCCTCCCCCAGCTCAATAATTTTCCTTCCTTCCCTGCTCATCTACTGGCTCTGAGTGGCCTCCCCAAGCCTCCTCCCCCCACATTGCCTGTCCTGTCTCTCTGTCTGTCTGCCTGACTCCATGCCAACATGTGTCTCTCTGTTTGTCTATACCATGTCCGGGTTAAGGATGTCCGGTTTCTTCTCAGGAAGCTTCGGAACCATTCAGAATGCCAGACATCATTGGGGGTGGGGATGCCTGGGTCCTGGACATCATGATATACAGGCTGGTAGGAGGAGGAAAGTAGTGCTTGGATTCAGGGGCTGGGCATGCCTGGGACCTGGGGACCGTGCTGCAGGAAGTAGTGATTCCTACTTGCAAGCTGGGTGGCGTTGGGCTTGTCCAGTAGTTCTTAACCATTTTTGGATACAGTCTTGACAATCTGATGAGGCCTAGGGAGAATAATGTTTTTAATTTCATGAAATAAAATGCATGCAATTACAAAGAAAACCAATTACACTGAAATACAGTAATAAAAATATATTTGAAAAAACAAACAAAAACACCAGTAGTTCATGGGCTAGTTAGTCCCTTCTCCTCTCTTGGCCTCAGTTTCCCCCACTCTCAAATGAGGAGGTTGGATTAGATGGTCTCCAAGGGTCTTTCCAGCTCTAAATCCCATAAATCCTATGACTCCCACTTGAATCCAGCCACAATTTTCAGCCTGGAGGAAGGGGAAAGTTTCCCCCTGAACCTAAGCTGACCCTGGGGCAGCTGCAGAGCTAGGCTCCAAGGCCCCAAAGGCTGAGCATCCTAGCCAGGGAGTAAGTAGGGATTGGGGCAGGCCCAGTGGCTTCTCCCCGCCCCACATTCCTGGGTGACTGAGGTCACCAGGTTCCAGCCCTGCTGCTTATACAGCTGAGTTCAGCTGGCCCTAGAAAGGAGGACTGGGGGAGTCTAATAATCCGTGACTGGAGGCAGGCACCATGGAAGATGAGGAGACCGGGAGAACTCAATGCTCCCTCCCCATCCCCATCCTCTCTGAGGGCCTCTTTGCCTCCCCCTGGAGTGGTAGGGTGATGGAAAGAATACTAAAATTACAGCCAAGAAGACCAGGCCTCAGATCTTGGCTCTGTCACTTACTATGACCTTGGACAAGTTACTTCTCCCTCCAGGTTTCAGTTTCCCCATCTATAAAATCAGGGGGTTAACTAGATAATCTTTAAGGTCTTCTCTAGCTTCAGTTTCCTCCTTCCTCCTCATGATCCTGTTAGTGAGGGAGGAGGAAATATAGTCCTTCTCTCCCTTCCTTCTTCCCTAATGAAGCTGGCTGGGTAGGGAGCCTGGACTCTTAGGTCCTAATATTAGCAGGACTTACAAGGATTCAAGAAGACCCCAGCATCAGCATTTGCTCTTTTTCTAGGTCACAACTCAGACAGATAGGCTGTGTGTTTGGGAGACTAGATACAGTGGCTTTATAGTATGAGGTTTGAATCCCACTTATGACACTTATTACCTGTGTGACCTTGGGCAAGTCACAACCTCTCTGGCCCTCAGTTTCCTCACCTGCAAAATGAGAGTGTTAGACTAAATGGCCTCTGAGGCTCCTTCCCTCTATAGATTTGTGATCCTAAGACCCAGGTCCAGCTCTTGAATAGGGGAATAGTATTGAGGCTGCCCACTTAGGCATGGGCCTCAGTGCCTGGGTATTAAAGAGCAGGCTTGGAACACTGGAGTGGGGATGAGGGGTAGAGTGGGGGGTGTCGGGAAGATGAGGGAACCTCCTGCTTAGGCTAAGGGGAAGTGGCCTGAATAGGCCCTTTGTGGGGCCTGGCCCAGCTGGCCCCAGCCCTGGGGGGATTGGGTGACTGGCCGCTGGGAGAGGAAGAAGGTCACATTGCAGGCTAGGAGGTGTGGCTCCTGGGTTCCATGCTGGGTGGAGCAGGGAAGGGGCCCCTACCACAATGGAGAGGACCATTTTCTCCTCTCTTGCCCACCCCAGTTCTGCCCTTCTTTGGAAGGTGCCCTGAACTTGGAGTCACCCCATTAGATGTGGGGTTCAGAGGAACCCAACCTCCAGCCTTAGGAGTCACAGAGCAACACCAATTATAGCATAGTCTTGTAAGAGAAAGAAGACTAGTTTTAGAATCAGAAATCCTACTTCAGTCCCTTACTAGCTGTGTTTGGAAAAATCACTAACTTCTCAGTGACAGAATAAAGGATGTTGGGTTTTGATAATCTGCAAAGTGGCTTCTAGCTCTGGATCCCATGTTCCCCCCACTCCCTGACCCAGCTCATCACAAGGGCTGTAGGAAGTGGGCTCCAGCCTGGGAGGAAACAGGAAGTCTGGTTTGAGAGACAGGGAAGAACAGGCCTTAGGCATGGGAGTAGGGGGATGGGAAGGGAAGAGAGTCAGGATGCAGGGAAAAGGGAGCAAGGCCTGTTAAGAAGTTGTGTGATAACAAAAAGAACACTGGTTTTAGAGTCAAAAAGAGATGATTTGAATTCTGTCTGGATATCACATAACTAATCTGTACCTCAGTTTGCCCTTCTGTAAAATAAAGGGATTGGACTAGAAGATTTCTAGTCCATTCCACCCCTAAATCGTATGATCTTTAAATGCCCCCGGCCAAGGTCAGCTTCTTTGTGCCTTTAGAGGGACACTGGGACATATGGTCAAATGTGGAGACATGCAGTAGATGAAAAGGCCCACCAGGAGGCATCCTCACACACACTAGCCCAGCCCTCCCTGATGACCCAAGTCTAACCTAGAGCTAGAGGAAGTGGGGGGACCACCCTCACCCTTTTACTTATCCTTCTTTTGGGGGGACCCCAGATGTTCCAGCTGGAATCTGGCAAGCTGGTCCTGTCCGTGTCCAGGAGAGGGATGCTCCTCCTCCCTCAGTCTTCCCCCAGTCTCTGGCCCCTTTCCCCCCCCTCCCCCAGGGGGGCCCACATAGAGAGGCCTGGCACAGGCAGGAAAGAGGAAGTAGCAGACACAGAGCTCTGGGCCCAGCCAGGAAGAGAGGGCGGAGCCGCCCAAGGACCCAGGATGGCAGAAGCTGAGCCCCCCTCGGACCTGGAGCTAGAGGTGGGGGACTGGGGCAGGGTTTGGGGGGACTTTGGGACTTAGACTTCAGAGCACTGGGGATAGGAACTGCCTGTCCACCCTTTTCAGCTATCTATCTCCTCTCCCACTTCACTCCCCAACTACAATCAACACAGGAAGGCCAAGGCCAATGACATATCTTCCTTCTAGGGCCACTAGCTAAGGGGTCTGGCTGGGCAGTCCAATAGGAAGTGATGACAGGCAGGATGTGGAATACAGGGCCACTGGCTATCTGGGGCCCCCCACTGAGACAATTAAGAAATTTTCTTGGTCGGGGTCAGACTTAAGGGTCGGTCATAACAAGGATCCTGGGTGACCCTGGGACACTCCTGGCCAGGAATTTGGATTTATTGGAATCACTTCTCCACCAGAATTCGGGGTCATCTAGGGTTATTCCGTCCAGGACTTTGGGTGACACTGTCACTTGAGCCAAGATTACTGAAGACCTTGACACCTCTTTTCTGCTGGAACCCCTGTTACACACAGCTTTTACCCTAGGCCTGATTCTGACTTAAGGCTTCTCTGAGCCTAGGGGAAAGAATATGTTCTAGGAGGTTGGGATGGGGAGGAGGAGGAAGACATCCCTCTGTCTCTAAGTAGAAAAAGAAATATTTGAGGTCAAAGATATATGAAACACATGGATCCCCAAGGATTTATCAAATCAGGGGTGGGTTTTTGGGCCCCTGCCCCACAGTCCCTTTGTAGTACTAAGCAGTACTGTAGTACTACTTCATCTAAGAAGTCTGTACCTAGTACCTGCTCTGTGTATGACTAGCATTTTGTAGGGCTGTGTTGGCTGGGAAGCAGAGACTAGGCTCTACCTAGTCTGGCAGGGGAGCTCAGACTCCCTATTCCCTGCCTCCCCCTCTTGAAAACTGTGAGCTAGTATAGGGATGGGGTTCAGCTTAAAAGGGTCATAGGTCCCCCCCAGGCAAAGACGTATCTATGGGCTGGGACAGCCAGTGATAGCTTTCTGGAGGTCATGGGATTTCACTTCTGAGGTCAGAGAAAAAGGGAGAGAATTGCATCTGCCAAGGCAGGAAAGAGTCTGGCCTGTCCTAGGATAGGAGAAGGGGAATTTGGGGGAGCACAGGAAAAGGTAAGAAGAGAGTATAAGAATCTGGGTTCAAGCCCTAGCTCTGCAACTTACAGTGTGACTTTGGGCAAGTCACTTCCTCTCTGTGGGCCTCAGTTTCCCCCTGTGTAAAATGAAAAAAGTTTAGGCAAGATGATTTCTGAGGTCCTTTTAGGTCTGTGAAGGTGGGAGCACAGTTTCAAGAGCTTTAAAATGCTGAAGAAGCATAGCATATAGAAGTGGAAGGGACCTTGTCATCTGGTCCCACCCCCTCATTTTATGGAAATGGTGGGGGGTGGGGTGGATGGAAACAGGCATGAAAAGATGGAAATACTTGCTGGAGGTCATGTCGTAGCAGAAATGAGATTCAAGGTCAGGGTTTCTGACTCAAACCCCTTTCCACTGTCTCTGTTTCTTCAAACGAAGGGATTTGATGGCGTGTTCCCTAAGCTGTCTCTTCCAGCTCTCAATCTTGTGATCCCATGAGGTTGGGCTTGCCATCTCAAGAACTTTTCATATTAGGCTGAGGAGGCTGAACATGGCCCCCCACATGTGGTGTTTCCTCCTCTGCCCTCTGGTTTTCCTAATCCTGAGTCCCCAGAGTGCTGAGCTATGACCTTTCCCTGTCCCCTTCACAGAGTGAGCCTGGGAGCTGGTCAGTGCTGGAGCAACTAGGCCTGGCAGGAGCAGACCTGGCAGCCCCAGGGGTACAGCAGCGACTGGAGTTGGAGGTGGAAAGGTTGCGACGGGAGATCCGAAAGGAGCTGAAGCTGAAGGAGGGGGCAGAAAACCTGCGGCGGGCAACCACTGACCTCGGCCGAAGCCTGGGGCCAGTGGAACTGCTGCTGAGGGGCTCCACTCGCCGCCTGGACCTGCTGCACAGCCAGCTGCAGGAGCTCCATGGCCTTGTGGTGCTGCATGAGCCCAGCCAGGCCCAGCCCCCGCTTGGCCAGGCCCAGGGTGAGCAAGGTGCTAAGGTCCCTGGGGAAGGGGCCTGAGAAGCCAAAAGACAGCAGACTGGGCCCTGGGGGAAACCAAATTTGGAAGCAATCTGGATACCAGGGGCTCCAAGGAGAAAAGAAGACTAGACTCCTGGTGGTCCAGGACCCCAGTAAGGGATACCTATGTGACATCTCAGGGGGGTCATAAAATGTGGAAGGCCTGAGGCCACTCCTCATCTCTTGAGGCTGTCCTTTGAGCTAGGGGTAAGAAACCTAGCCTGGTCTCTAAACTCTGTCTCCACTAGGAAATATTGTTTGGTGGGGAGGGAACATAGATGGGTCAGGATTCTAGGCCTCCAGCCTCCCAGCCCCCAGCTTGTCTTTCTGGCTTAGGGTGGAAACCACACCAGCAGCTCCCCTTACCTCAGCTCCCCATGAAATATTCAGGCTCCAGGCAGGCAGGGCAGAAGCAAAGCAGTCAGCTACTGGGCAGTGGGACACTAGGGTTCCCAGTTTAGCCACCTTTTTTGGGGGGGGAGAGTTCTTTAGTACCCCAGGAAGAAAGAAGGAAGCTTAAACTGCTGTGTCCCAGGATCAATCAGTCCCACCCAGGGAATTCCTGGCTGGATCCTGGGCAGAAGTGACTCTGACCTCCCCACTCTGTGCTTCCCAGATGGCCCCCAGTCCCCCAACTGCTCGGCCACCAGTCTGAGTCTGGTGGCCGGCTTGGAGAAGCAGCTGACCATTGAGCTCAAGGTCAAGCAAGGGGCAGAGAACATGATCCACACCTACAGCAATGGCAGCACTAAGGTGAGCTCAGAGCTGAGGCCTGAGGCTGGCAGGGAAGACACTTCCCTAAGCCCCTCTGCTTGGGTGGGTGGGGGGGACAGGGGAGGAAGGGCTAGGGGAGCCTTGGCTTGATCAATGTTTAGCTAATGCTAGAGTGAAAAGAACCCCAGACTCAGTCAGAAGACCTGAGGTAGAACCTTGCACCTATGGTTCAGTAGCATTGTAACCTTGGGCAGATAAGTCCCTTTCCCTTTCTGGGTCTCAGTTTCCTATCTTTGAGATGATGATCTCATGCCCTTCAGCTCTACTATTCCATGATTCTAAATTGGAGACAGTCTGTAGAGCTCTGTTGAAGAGCAAGGGCAACCCATACCTGACCCATTGAACAGCCCTCATCCCCGTCCTCCCTCCCTTCATCTCTAGGATCCTGGGGATTTAGGGTTGGAAAGGGCTTTACAGAATATCTAGTTCAACTCTTATTTTACAGATGAAGAAATTAAGGCCCAAAGAAGGGAAATAATTTGCATAAGGAAATAACAGAGATTGTAGCAGAGTGGGGATTCTAACCAAGTCAGGAGATTCTAAATCCAGGGCCCTTTACACCCTGCTGGATTGCCCTCTGAGGTTAGGTCTGGGGGGCTCCCTGGGCAGCATTAGTGCAGAAGGGGAAGGAAGAGGCTGCTCCATCTCTTCTCTGGGCATCCCTTTCTTCTGCATTTGCAAAATGACAAGTCCCTTCCAACTGTGATGTTTCAGGAACCGATTGTATATCGGGGAATTGGGAACTTTGCTAGAAGCCCCTTCTCCACCTCTGAATTGTAATGCAATCTCCCCCTTTTCTGGGTCTCAGTTGCCTCCTCTGTAAGTGAGGAGGTTAGATTAGAAAACCACTAAGATCTCTTTCAGTACTGACTTTCTATGATTCTATAAGGATATACATCAACAGACATGTAACTTTAGGTGAACCTTGCCCTTCAAAACATAGGCAGGGGGACATACAAGTCCATCAGCCCTGGGAGACACCCGTGCAGGGCCACACACACACTCACGCGCACGCGCGCGCACACACACACACACACATACACACACCCCATGTTCCAATGCAAGAACATAAGTATCACATCATCCTACAGGAACAGGCTCTATTAGACTCCACTGCCCCCTCCCCCCAGCACCCCTCCCATTCTTTACTAGTCATGGGGGGTGGGGTTGGGGTGGGGGTTTCTCCCTCACCTTTACCCATTCTACCTCTCTCTTCCAGGACCGGAAGCTGCTGCTCACGGCCCAGCAGATGCTGCAAGACAGCAAAACCAAGATCGACATCATCCGCATGCAGATTCGAAGGGCCTTACAGGCGGGGCAGCTGGAGAACCAGGGCTCAGAGGAGTCACAGGGTGAGCCCCTGCACTGGGAAACTTCCTCCCCCAGTCACAGGCTCCTTCTTCAGCCAGAGAGAGACAGGAGGGAGGGGGGAGGGAGGCGAGACAGACAGACACAAAGATGGACAGGCAGAGCCAAAGCTGGAGGGAGGGACGGACGGCGGGAGGGAGGGAGAGCCTGTCTTAGTGTGTACGATTGTGCTGGAGCCCCAGTGTATGTCTGCAGCTAGGTGTGCAGTGTATGTGTGTCCTGGAGTGTCGTCGCCGCTGGTGGGATGGGGGAGACCTCCTTCCACACGCACGCTAACTCCTCGGTGGCCGCAGGGGGCCCGGACCTGGGGGCAGTGGAGCTGCGCATCGAGGAGTTAAGGCATCACTTCCGAGTGGAGCACGCGGTGGCCGAGGGGGCTAAGAACGTATTGCGCCTGCTCAGTGCTGCCAAGGCCCCCGACCGCAAGGCTATCTCTGAGGTACCTGGCGAACGAGAGTGGGAAGGAGACGCAACTGGAGGGCTCGAGCCAAAGGGGCGGGCGGGCGTAAAGGATTGTGGAAAACTAGCAGGGGAGGCTTAACGGGAATAGTAGCAGAAGGGTCCCTCGAGGCTTGTGAAGGCAGAGAGGTTCCCTGGCCTGAGGGTCCCTTTTGCCCCTCTGTTCCCCTCTGCTCCTCCCAATGCGCCGCCCCTCTCTGTATACCCCACCCTACTTCAGGCCCAGGCCAAGTTGACAGAGTCCACCCAGAAGCTTGCGCTGCTTCGGGCAGCCTTGGAACTACGCCTTGGGGAGCTGCCCGCAGATCACCCCAAGGGGCGATTGCTGCTGGAGGAACTGGCCATGGCTTCATCTTCCGCCTTCAGCGCCCGCCTGGGCCCTTTCCCTGCCACTCACTACAGCACGCTCTGCAAACCCTCGCCTCTCACAGGTGCGCCATCTGACCCAACACCAGACACCGAGCGTCCTAGCCCTGCCCTAGGGCTCCCAGAACCCGGCCCCAACCTTGCCTCTCTGTCTTCTGGGGCCTAGGCACATAGCTGTATGATCCCCAGCCCTAAATGCTCCAAACCTTGGCCGTTCACTTCCCTCTAGATGATCCAAACTTGCCTCCCTCACAGTTTCCTGACTGCATTGTTCAAACACCAACCCTACAAGAACTTGACTCTAGTGGCCAGCCTGGATTAGGGTTCCCAAGCCCACAAAGTCTTATCCAAGCTCTCAGCCCTACTGGATCTTAGCATTTGGTTCCTAGTATCTCTGGCATCAGAATCTCCATTCATTCTCCCAACCCAATCTAAGGGATTGGCTCCTAGCCTCCCAAATGCATTTATAAATCTCTTTGCCTTGAAGACCCCAGCACCCATCTCAGCCCGCCATAAACCCTGAACTTCCACACCTCTTCCTCAGTCTAGTGCATCCCCCAAATCTCTTCCTGATTCTGTCCCCAAATAGTTATCCCAATTCCATTCTCTCATTTCCTTACCACACTGAGGTCTGCTTTCTAGCTCTACTTCAGCCCCATAAACCCCACAAAGCCCCCCTCAAACTCTCCAAGGTCTAGGTTTCAAACTTCACCCGTCACATTCCCTGGGATCTTGTTCAAATCCCCATGCTTTCCTAAGACCCTTATCTAGTTCCTTCCTCTAAGTGTCTGAAGCTAATACTTTCTGTTTCTAGCTACTTTGCCACTTGTTTCACCTGGGAATACAGTGCCTGACCCCCAGCTCCAGATGTTCTTCAGGACCCTTGCATCTAGGTCCCTGCATCATCCCCTTCCTGGGACCTAGGCCATAGCTAGGGGTCATAAACCTGACCCTTTTTGGTGCCCTACTGATCTCCCTCTCCGCACAGGGACTCTGTCAGTACGTGTGCTGGGCTGCAGTGGACTTCCTGAGACAGTCCCTTGGAGTTCTCCACCTACTTCGGGGAACTCAGGCACTACCGAAAGTCGTACCCCCTTCCTGGGCCGCCCAGCCAGGGGCCTCTATAGCAGAAGTGGGAGCCTCAGTGGCAGGGGCAGCATCAAGACAGAGGAACCAACCAGCTGAGTATCCCTCTGATACACTGAGGGGAAAGATAATATTGGGGCTGAATATTCATGGGTAGATGTTGGGGGAGGAGATTTGTGGGGAAAAGGAACTAACTGACACCATGGCCTCTTCACAGATGAGGTCAGTGCTGTACTCAAGGTAGACAACACAGTGGTGGGCCAGACACCATGGAAGCCATGTGGCCAGAATGCTTGGGACCAGAGCTTCACCCTGGAGCTGGAAAGGGTGGGTGTTAGCAGAAAAGGTTCCAGGGGGGACAAGGAAGCATGTAGGGGGCCCACAACTCTAGAGTGGTGCTGTTGCTATGGTGGAGAGAAGGCCATGGAAACACAAGGACCAAGGACAGCTCCCCTCTGATCTGTCCCCCCAGGCCAGAGAGCTTGAACTCTCTATATTCTGGAGGGACCACCGTGGCCTGTGTGCCCTTAAGTTCCTGAAGCTTGAGGATTTTCTGGACAACCAGAGGCATCAAGTGCAATTGGAGTTGGAGCCTCAAGGCTGTCTTCTGGCAGAGGTATGGCCTTGGACCCCTATATCTCCCAGGAGCCTCAGATCCCTATGCTTCTCCTTTCCCAGAGCTCCAAACTCCTTAGGAAAACCTGCTATCAGAACTATGGCTTCTCACATGTCTAGTGCTACTAGCCTTCCCTAAGACTGCTATTTGCCGGAGATCTATCCCCCAGCCTCCAAACCTCCTGCTAGGATCCTGCTTTCTAAAGCACTTTTCTCCCCAATCCTCCACTCACAGTCCTGGCCTAGGCTAAGAGATCAGGGTTTGGGGGTATCTCCCTTTCCACCCAGGTCATCTTCCACAACCCAGTGATTGAGCGGATCCCACGGCTCCAGAGGCAAAAAAAAGTGTTCTCCAAGCAGCAGGGTGAGTGAGGTGGGTTGGGCAAGGAGAGAGGGTAAGAATCAGGACTTTGGTGCATGACCCTTTCTCCCCATTGATGCTCAGGGAAGGCTTTCCTTCGAGCCCGGCAAATGAACATTGACATTGCCACATGGGTGCGGCTCCTTAGACGGCTCCTTCCCAGTGCCAGTTCCACGGGCACTTTCAGCCCTGGAGCCACCACAGCTGAAGGCCGAACCTCAGGGTAAGAACCCTTTTGCCCAGCTCCTCTCCCTTCCCCAATCTCTGATCACACTAGAATCTTCTGCTCTGACATCTTCATCACCTGAGCACATGAAATAAGAAACTCTGGTATCCCTTTCTCAAATCCTTAGCATATAGGCTAAGGGCCCTAGGGCCTGGGATCCCCCTCCCCCAAAGCCAAAACTTATAGGATAAGGGACCTTAACTCATGTCCTTATCTGAGACCCTTTCCTTTCAGCATCTTTCTGTCCCCTTGCATATGGGATTCCCTACTTTCACATTCTTTCCAAGCATCGGGAACTGAACTCAGGCATCCATTTCAGCTCTTCTCCCTCACCCCTTAAGCAAACAAGAAAGCAAGTATTTATTAAGTACCTACTATGTGCCAGGCTCTACAGATACAAAGACAAAAGCAAAATAGTCCCTGACCTCAAGGAGCTTACATTCTTGCTAGGGCAGACAAACATGGATGTGCATGGATAGGTATAGATGTAATAGATACAAGGTAATTTTTTTGGGGGAGGCACTAATAGTTTAATGGATTTTGTAGAAAGTAGCACTTGAGTTTAGTCTTGAAGAAAACTAGAGATTCTAAGAAACAGAAGTGAAGAGGGAATGCATTCCAGGCATAGGAGTTTCCCCATGCAAGGCATGGAGGTAGGTGATGGAGCATTGTGTGTGAGGAGGTACAAGAAGGCCTGGTTGGCTAGCCTGTAGAGTGCTAGAGAGTAATGTTTAATAAGACTAGAAAAGTCAGTTGGGGCAAGGATTTAAAGAGCTTGGACCCAGGGACGCACTGACAACCTATGTGTCCTCTTCCTCTTTCTCTGTAGGGATATTTCCATTGAGAAGCTGAACTTGGATTCTGATAGCTCCGCCCAGAAAAGTCCCCTCGATCTACTCTCCAGCCCCTCCAGCCTTTCCAGCCCCTCCTCCCTGGTGAGGTCTTCCTTCACACCAGTGGGGGGCTTGGCTAACTGAGTATGTTAGCTGCATTTAGAGATTGGGGGAGTTTTACAGAGGGGAGAGTGGAGGCTCACTCAAAGTGTTACTGACTCACTGACAGCCAAAATTAGAAGCTAGATAATCTGGCTTCCATTTTCTGATCAGAAATGGAGACCCTTTGGGAAAGGAGCATGGGCAGAAAGGATTTGGAGTTGAAAGTTAGGACTTCCCTTCATCTCCCCTGACCAGAGTCCCAGAAGCCAAGATACTCCACAGCCCCTGGAATCAATGCCTGAAGACAAAGAGACTCCTGGACCCACCCCATCCAGGTAAATCTATCCTCCCTTCACCCCACTCCCTTTCTATCCATGTGCTTGGGTCTCCACAAGACCCTCTCTCCTTTACAGCCCCCTGAGGACATCCCCACTGAGCCTGAACGACTTCAAATTCCTGGCAGTCCTGGGCCGAGGCCACTTTGGGAAGGTGAGGTGGGAGGGGCTGGGACTGAGCGGGATGAATCCTGAGTCCTTTGGAGTGGGGGCTCCCCTCAGGGCTTTGGAGCCCTGAGTCATACCTGCCCACGCCCGCCCCCAGGTGCTACTGTCCGAGTATCTGCCCAGCGGGGAGCTCTTTGCCATCAAAGCCCTAAAGAAGGGGGACATAGTGGCCCGGGACGAGGTGGAGAGGTAAAGCAGGGCGTGGGACTGGGGTGGAGGTGGCGGGGCTGAGGGAATAGCGGGGGCTGGGAGCGGAGCCTCTGACCCCCGGACTCTTCCCTGCCCCTTCCTCAGCCTGATGTGTGAGAAGCGGATTCTGGCTGCAGTGACAGGCGCCGGCCATCCCTTCTTGGTCAACCTGTTTGGCTGCTTCCAGACCCCTGAACACGTGTGCTTTGTCATGGAATATGCAGCAGGGGGGGACCTCATGCTGCACATCCACAGCGACGTCTTTACAGAACCTCGAGCTGTGTAAGCCCCGTCCCAACCAGGCTCCTGTCCTAACCCTATCAAGGGCAGGGGAGCTCAGAGCCTCTTCCGTGCGGAGTGCTCCCTACCCCACCCCCAAAGAAGCCCTGATCCTTCCAGGCATACCAATCCCCTGTTGTTGTTTAGTGGATTAGTGGTGTCCCACTCTTCGTGGCCCCATTTGGGGTTTTCTTGGCAAAGATACTGGAGTGGTTTGCCGTTTCCTTCTCCAGCTTGTCTTGCCCAGGGTCACAACTAGTAAGTGTCTGAAGTCGAATTTGAACTCAGGTCCTCTCTATCCACTGGGCCACCCAGCTGCTCGCTGATTCCCTGACCTCCCTTATATTCATACTCCTTGATCTCCATGGGCTCCTCCCATGTGCTGGGCATCTTCCACTTGTCCCCTGCAGTTCCTCACCTCGAGAACCTCTTTCCTTCTCCCAGAGACACCCTCTCCTACCTCTCCTCATCCAAGACAGACCTGCAGCTACCTCCTTTTCCTTCCTCTCCACAGCTTCTATTCAGCTTGCGTGGTGCTGGGGCTGCAATTTCTGCATGACCACAAGATTGTCTACAGGTAGGCAGGAAAAGGCCAGATTTCTGTGTGTGTGGGGAGGTGGGGGGAGTGTTTGGGCTCAGGTGTGGGGGCAGGGCGGGACTCAGGTCCTGGTCACAGGAGCCCCTAGCCTAGGGAGGAGACCCTAATTATTGCCCCCAAACCTTCTAGGGACCTGAAATTGGACAACTTATTGTTGGACACAGAAGGCTATGTGAAGATTGCTGACTTTGGGCTCTGCAAGGAGGGTAAGAACCAAGGTCTGGCTTCAGAGGGAAGGGACATGGGGGTCAATGCACAGAGATAGTGAATCTCTCTCTCCGATGCCTTCCCAATTCCTCCTTTGCTGTCCACCTGTAGGGATGGGCTTCGGTGACCGCACCAGCACATTCTGTGGGACCCCAGAGTTCTTGGCTCCTGAAGTGCTGACTGATACATCTTACACTCGGGCAGTGGACTGGTGGGGGCTGGGCGTATTGCTCTATGAGATGCTGGTGGGGGAGGTGAGTCCTGTGACCATTTCCTGGTGTCCTTGACACTGGTCAGATATTAGAATGGTATGGGAATCATAGGATAGTAGATTGAGAGCTCTAAGGTAGCATAGAGGTCAAGTAGCCTCACCTCTTTATTTTACAGATAAGGAAACTGAAGCCTAGAGAATTTAAGTTTGGGACCCAGGGTCATTCAGCTAGTAAGTCTCTGAGGCAGGATATGAATATGGGTCTTCTTGTCTTCAAGTCCAGTGCCCAGGCTACTCAGCCAAAGGAGGCTTCTGTCCCTGTACCTGCTTTGGGAGATAAGACTCTGACAGACCCAAATATTTGGGATTCCCTATAGGGTAGTGTTATTGGAACTGAATTATAGGAGTGCAGACTGGCAAGGTTAGAGGAGCTTCCTGAGGGAGGTGAGATGTGGCCTGAGACCTGAAAGATGAATAGCATTTAGAGAAGGGGAGAGGAGGTAGGGAGGGCATTTCAGGTTTGGCCATAGGAGGCATGGGACATTTGTGACATGAAAGAGCTAGACAACTAGGGAAATCAGGTCCCTTCCCAAGCTCTCCTTCCCTTCTAGTCCCCGTTCCCTGGAGATGATGAAGAGGAGGTGTTTGACAGCATTGTCAATGATGAGGTCCGCTACCCCCGCTTCCTCTCCACAGAAGCCATTGGCATCATGCGCAGGGTGAGGACCTCTGGACTCAAACACCTACAGCCCCTGGCACACCCTCACCCCTGTTCTTGACCCTGTAGGCCCATTCCTACCCTCTGCCTGTTGCTCTCACCATCAGATATTTGGGTCTCTTTATCTCCCCCAATCAGGGCAAGGCTGGGGCTGATTCTAGGAGAGCTTTTTGAGCTCCAAAGATTCCTAGCACCCAGATTCCTAGCTTCATGGGGGCTAAGTGTAGAGAATGAGGAGGAAGGTTCTAATACTACCCTCTTCCCAGCTACTTCGGCGGAACCCAGAGAGACGTCTGGGCTCTGGTGAGCGGGATGCTGAGGATGTTAAGAAGCAGCCATTCTTCCGGGTAAGACCTCAGTTTCCTTCCTGACACTCTGCCTTCCCCACTTTCTTGTGCTTTGTGTTTTCCTCACCCCCATACAGTCTGCTTCTACCATCCTCCTACATCTTGTCTTCTGTACCCACTCACCACATCTCTGTGATACCCCTTCCCCAGTTTCCCTAGAGATACTTGATTACATTGGAGGGACAGTGTGGAGTTCAGTTTAAGGGACATGTGATAGTGGAAAGAATCAGTTCTGGGGACACTGAAGTTCATGGTTGCTGAGGAAGGATTCCAAGGTCACTTTTGGTGGGACATTGGGGTAAAGTGGAGGATAATACAGGGGATACAAGAAGTGGGGAGGAGGGAAGACTCCTATCATATTAGAGGAACACTGGGGTGTCAGGGGGCACTTGGTTGGTGCTGAGAACCCTGGGTATCAGTTTTAGGAGACACTGATTAGAGTTGGGTGGAGGGAGGCTAATTTTGGGGAACACTGCTAGTGTGTTGTTGGGGACTAGAGATAAGTTTTGGGAGACCCTGCTGGGTTGAAGCTGGGAACATTGGAGGAGGAATGTGCTCAGTGCTGGGAATACTGACTTAGGTCACCCAGTGAATAGAGCACTGGTCCTGGAATCAGGAAGTCTTCAGGTCCCAGACGCCTACTAATTGTGTGACCCTGGGCAAGTCATTTAACTTCTGTTTTCCTCAGTATCCTCAACTGTAAAATGGGGATAATAACAGCACCTACCTCCCAGGATTGTTGTGGGGATCAAAGATGATATTTGTGAAGCACTTAGAGCAGTGCTTGGTACAAAGTAGGTGCTATATAAATGTTTATTCCCTATTCCCTGCATTCTTCTCCAGACCCTAGGCTGGGAGGCATTACTGGCCCGCCAGCTGCCACCGCCTTTTGTTCCTGTGATCAAGGGCCGAACGGACATCAGTAACTTCGATGAGGAGTTTACCGGAGAGGCCCCAGCTCTGACACCACCCCGGGAGGCTCGCCCCCTCTCAGCTGCTGAGCAAGAAGCATTCAGGGACTTTGACTACGTCTCTAAAGGCTGCTAGTGCTGCCTCTCCCCAAAGGACAATGAATGGACTGAACCTTCCACCACCCCATTCTCTGCAGTTTGTAGTTTTTAAAAGGCCTTTGGGGTTTGCCCCATCAGAGTAGCCTCTGCCTCCTTTTTATGCGCCAAGGGTTGTGTGGGGATGGGGGAACTCAGTGCCTGAAGGAGTGAGGGGGAGGCAATGAGGGGAGCCTTCTGTGACCTTAGGCAAATAACAACTGCTATTGGCTTCATTTTCCTTATTGGAGAAGCTTAGATGATCAATTAAGTCTATTCTGGGCTGAAATCTATGGTCCTATTATCTGATGATCTGGAGGGGAATGGGGCCTTGAGCAGGAGAAGGACCAGGAGAAGGACCAGGAGAAGGGCTTTGGCTGAAGAAGGAGGAGGAACTGTGAAGGAGATTCAGAGGGCTGGAGAATTTCAAAGAAAGCCAGAGCTTGAATCTGGAAGGAACTGAAGGAGGAGGAAGATTTAAACTGAAGGAGGACCCAGGGAGGAAATCTACAGGGGGAGAGGAAAGTAAGTGAAGCTAACAGTGACAAGCTGTGGCTCCCAAGCTACTAAGAGGAAAAGAAGACAGGGGTCTCACATTTGAAGATCCTCATTTGCAGTTTGTCACAGTGGTTCTCCAGGAAAACTTCTATCAAGAGGGAAAAGGGACGCTGAGGGTCTCACTTCTAGCAAAGTATGAAGAGTAGGGAGAAATCCTCAGTGACCTGCACAGAGTGGGAGATGATAGATGCATGGTGTTTATATGTCTGCCCTGGCCACATGAGATTAACTATTACCTGTACTCAGAGTATGGGCTGGCCTCCCTCTGAGAAGATGAGCTATTTACCCAAACAAGCTTATGCCTCTCTGCTCTCCAGCTTCCCAGGGAGAATTGTGGTCCTTTAAAAAGTAGAATGAATGGTTTCAGGGGGAAACAAAAGAAAAGTGATCTGAAGAAGCAGCTGGGAATCCTCACCTGTGACGGGAGCTCTTAAGGAGGAAGGAGAAATAGAAGAAAGACCACTGAACCCTCTGAGCTCTGTAACACATAGAAGGAGGGTAGTCCTCAAGAGGAAGGAGCTAGATTCTGAAAGCAGTTGCTTCCTCTTCCTTCAAGGAATGATGATGTAGATTCACAGGTAAGATAGAATGCAGAAAGGGTAAGAGGAAGAGGAGGTCAGGAGTGGGGCTTGTGGACATCTCTGCAGAAGGGCTAATAAGGAAGCTCTTTGTCATCCTGATAATAACAATGTTTTAAAAAGTCTGCTATCTTCCTATAGCATATTTGCAAGAAGTGGCAGAGAATCTCCCAAGACTCGTCAAGCTATATGACTGCTTCTCACTTCTTGTGATCCAAGTGTTCACAAATGTTTCTTACAAGAAGGCTCTAGCAAGCAAGACTGAATATTAGGAAGCCCTGGGCAAGAAATCAAAGTTACTGCTGTTGCTTGAAGGGAAAGACTTCAGATTTGGGGAGTGAAGAACATAGCATCTAATAATAGGATATGGATTTCTGGATCATAAAATAAAATGTAAGAATGACAATGCCCCTGGTCAGAGACTAACTGCCCTAAGGGCTGGAAGAATGTGTTTGTCTGTTGTTTCAATCATGTCTGACTCTTTAGAGTTTTCTTGGCAGAGATACTGAGGTGGTTTGCCATCCTTCTCCGGCTCATTTTTACAGATGAGGAAACTGAGGCAAACATGGGTTAAGTGATTTGCCCAGGGTCACACAGCTATTAAGTGCCTGAGGCCACATTTGAACTCAGGTCTTCTTGGCTCTAGACCTGGTGCTCTCGCTGTCCTTGCATTTGCCTAGAGAGTTGAAAACGAATGAATGAATAAATCAATGAACAAATGAAGCATTTATTAAGAATTACCATGTGCAAAGCATTGTGCTACACCCTGAAAATACAAATCAAAAAGTGAGACAGTTTCTGGCCTTGAGGAGTTCACATTCTAATGGAGCAAACAATACATATTGAAGGTATCAGCTGTAAGTCACATGGAAAGGGCCTGTGATCCTAAGGATACAGCTGCAAAGCAGATGTTAATGTCTCTTCTTTAATCTCATTTCCACTGATAAGATCATACCATGTTCTTATGTTAAACCAATGAACAGTACCAAGGGTTTTGGGAACAAGAACTCTCTTTTGGGGGTTTTCAGTAGCTGTGGTTGTAGCCCCAGTAGAAGCAGTTGCCTGGCTCTATCTCTACAGGGGTTGCTTCCCAGGATGATGGCTGTGGGCATCACATTGGGCTAAAAGCATCGCTGTTCCCAAGGCCTTTGGGTTCAGGGTTCTGGGTTGTCTCCATCAGAATCCAGAAAACATGGTGGTCAAGGTGGTGATGATGATGGTGGTTGAACTTGCTTGGCACATACAGCTTCCTGTCACTCCCTCAGGGTGCCTTGCTGCTTTAGCCCGGCAAATCTTGAAAGTGAAAATGAAGTGGTGGAGAGGAGACTGTCCATGTACACACACCAAGCTTGAGAGTATGGAGGGTTGCTACCATGTAGGAAGAAGAATAGTAGAGACACCCAGATATTGGACAAGTGCACATTAAATGTGCACATTAAAATATGCACATTAAACATGTGCATTAACATACTTGGCTGCAGATGTCTCTAAACGTAATACACAAAGTTTGGGTAACAAGCAAGGGAAGCTGGACCTCAACTCCCGGAAGTCAATTTGAACTCAGAAGTGTCACTGAGTATCATGGCTAAAACATGGCTCTGAAAGTGACATATGTGCCTTATTTGAAAGGGGTAGGATACGTGAAGGGTTGGGAAAGGGTGCCACAGAGTAGCACTACATATTTTGAAGATTTACTCATGTAAATGCAGGGAACCAGAAACATGGTGAATAGATTTGGCAGAAACAGAAATAGTACTGCAGTCTCAGCACACTCCATTCTATTTGAATATTAAGAAGAACTAGGTGAGGAATTTGGGGAAAAGCTCACAGCCCTGGCATGGCGTTATGATAGAATAGTGAGGGGGGACCTCAATGAGCCAGACACCTGCTGATATTCTTTCTCAACCCAAAGCAGATGAACTAATAACTTCTGGATTCAGAAACAAAATTGTACTCTCCATCCCAATGGCAAGGACTACTTGGGGCAATAGATGCACATTCTGTATGTTTCTTTGCACCCCTCAGCTTTTTAGGCTTGCTTTGCCCTTGTTAAAGCTTTGTGAGGAACCAGTGAGAGGAACTTCAATTTCTGATCTGATTCTGAACAATGAAGAGAAACTGCCTGCTGGGGTAGAAATGAAAGCAACTTGAAATTGTCAAAAGATGAAAAAGGAGATGGGCCTCTAGGTGGTGCTGTGGATAGAGCACCAGCCCTGCAGTTTGGAGGACCTGAGTTCAAATCCATCCTCAGATACTTACTAGCTGTGTGACCCTGGGCAAGTCAGTTAACTCTGCCTCAGTTTCCTCATCTGTAAAATAAGCTGGAGAAGGAAATGGAAAACCACCCCAGTATCTTTGACAAGAAAAATGGGTTCATGAAAAATCAGACACAACTGGAAAACCACAAAAAAGAAAAGAAGATAAAATCCAGGCACAGTCTAATAGCATCTAGAACTTAAAAGAACAGATTTCAAAGGGTAGAGAGGAAGATTAGGAAACATCCCATGGCTTAAAATTGTTCTGGGCAAGTCAGCCCAGGAGGAACAGGAGACTCTCCTAAATGAGGAGAAAAGAGAGAGTTGTCTTAAGAGACTGGGTGAGTTCAAAAGGAACCCTCTGACTGCCTTCGGTTTTTATAAGACATGAAAATAAGGGCAGCTAAGAAGATACATGCAAAAGCATGGCCTGGTTTTATAAGAATGGTATTGGTTAGTCAATAGGAATTTCTTAGGTACCTACCATGTGCCAAGCACTATGCAAAGTGATGGTGATACAAAAAGAGGCAAAAGATAGTCCCTGCCCATTGCAGGGGAGCTTGCAATCTAATGTCAGCAATGCTGAAGCTCAGAATAAGCTGGGTCTGGCAAAGGTTGTGTTGTGGAGAAATAAGAGCACAGCTCCCGGTGGAGGGAATAATGATAACAAGCATCCTAGGGAAGGAAGAACCACTAATTCCTTCCTTCCTTCCTTCCTTCCTTCCTTCCTTCCTTCCTTCCTTCCTTCCTTCCTTCCTTCCTTCCTTCCTTCCTTCCTTCCTTCCTTCCTTCCTTCCTTCTTTTGTTTTCTCTGCCAAGAAGAAGAGTCTATGGACTAGAAAAGACAACAAAAATGGGCTCTTTAGTGAGCTGAGACACAAAATAAGTAGGAAGTTTGAAGGTACCTGGTTTTCCTTGATTTCAAATCACATTGCCTCTGAACAGAGAGACCTGGCAAATATGATTGCTGAACCATTGTTAAAAATGATGATGCCAGGGGAAGCTAGGTGGTACAGTGGATAGAGTACTGACCCTGTAGTCAGGAGAACCTGAGTTCAAATCTGGTCTCAGACTCTTGACACTAGCTGTGTGTGACCCTGGGCAAGTTACTTAACCCTGATGGCCTCAGGGGGAAAAAAAAAACACAAGAAACCCAAGAATGATCATGCCAATACTAATAGCTAATATTTAAATAATTTTAAGTTTTGCAACACATTTTATATAGGTCATCTCATATGATCCTCACAACTACATGAGGCAGGCATTTTTCTTATCCCCATTTATTCATTCATTCATTTATTTGTTTATTTATTTATTTTTAGGCAATTGGGGTTGTGACTTGCCCAGGGTTACACAGCTAGTGTCAAATGTCTGAGGCCGGATTTGAACTCAGTTCCTCTTCACTCCGAGGCTGGTGCTCTATCCACTGCACCACCTAGCTGCCCCCTTATCCCCATTTATAGATGAGGGAACTGAGGAGAGAGATGAAGTGACTTGCCCAGGGTCAAAGTATCTGAGGCAGTCTTCTTGACTCTTAAGTCCAGCACCAGACCACTCTACCATCTTGCTGATCTTTAGAGAATGGGGAAATAACACAGGACTGAAGAAGGTCATCTAGATTTTCCAGGAAGGAAACGTGGGAGTCTGCAAGCTTGACTTGGATTTCTGGCAAAATTCTAGAACGTGTTATTAAAGGGAGAGCTAGCGAATGTCTA